TTCATCCACTCACCTGCCTCCTCCGCGCTCGCAGAACAACTGGAACAATCCTGCACAAAATCCCCTTTTTTGCACGCTCCGCACTCCATGCTGTGCTGCTATCTTTCTATAGACAAACTCCACCTGTAAGAAGGTTTGGGTATCCAGAAGAGGGCTTCAGCTGCATTTGTAGCCAAAGTTGAAGCCTGCCAGCAAACCGAGACTGCTCAGCCCCCTAGGACACATTTCTCCCACTTTGTTCTCTCAATGATAGAATCTTAATATCACCATTTCTTGTTAACAGCTCTACGCTCCAGCGAGGTTCGCAGTGGTTTCTTCCTCACACAAATTCCAGAGTAAAATCCAAAATACTGTTTGCAGGAAACATTCCAGTCTGTGCTCACAATAAGGAGTTCTGGTTCTCGCTCAAAAAAAACCAAATGAAAACAACTCATATTTCCATGTTGTGGATAAGCCCACATTGATAGATCTGTCCTTGCACGTAAGTGCTACTGCCCCAAAAACATCCTGCTGGCGTGCTTCCTCAACTTTCAAATCTAACAAGTCGTCTTTGTAAACGGAAGCCCCAAAGCGGGCATGGTGCCCTTGCTGACATTGCCCAAGTGATGAGATCATGCTGAGAAGCACTTTCTTTGCTCCAGACCCCATTCTGTACTTCAACAAGTTGCCTCCTGGACTTCTCTTCGTCTTCTGAAGTACGGGCACGCAGATGTCTCGGGACAGAACCCCAGAGGCCAGCGTGTCCCCTCATGATAAGCGCGCAGGCAAGAGGATGAAAAGCATTGGAGAATGCGGGCATCGATCCCGCTGCCTCTCGCATGCTAAGCGAGCGCTCTACCACTTGAGCTAATTCCCCAGCACACAGCCTGCACATCACCTCCCCTCAGCCCTCATACAGCAACCTCTCAGCCACATGGCCCTGCACACAACTCTTGACCACCCTGCACCCTTCTTCACAAAACCAACAACCACTCCCAATTTACAGGTGCTGGTGCAGCTCCCTCCAAACGCACAGGTGCTCAAGGCCAACACCACCTGCCCTATCTTCTGCAGAATCCACCACAGAGCAACATCCTCTTCTCCACGGCCCGCCAGAGCTCCAGCCTCCGATCCCATCAAAAGCAAGATGCGTGGCCAGCGTTCCAAATGCACCAGTGCTGCAGACTCAGTCGGGGCAAGAGCCAAAAGAGCACTCCTTCGAGCCGGAGTTGAACCAGCGACCTAAGGATGGCCGTGCAAGGGAGCCTACAGTCCTCCGCTCTACCAGCTGAGCTATCGAAGGAATCACAGGGTGCTGCCCTGCACCACACCCTTCATGCTCCCATCCGCATTATTCCTATGGCCATAATGCAGCACAACAACGCCTCTGCTTCCACTGCACACCCAGACACGCTCACCTCCGACAGCACTGCGCCTTTCTGAGTACTTCATGCACTCCCCTCACTAGCAGCACTTCCTGAAAACCTACACAGCTTTCCATTTCACTCTCCTCATTGCCAGAAACACAGGACGCACATCCCTGAGATACTTCGCCCTGTTACACCCCACTCACTTTTGTCATCTGCTCAGCCACCTCATCATCATTCATCCACTCATCTGACTCCTCTACAGTCTCAGAACAACTGGAAACACCCTGCACAGTATCCCCATCCCCTCTATTTCAAGCTCCGTGCTACATGTTGTGCTGAGATCATTCTAAGGCAGCCTGCACTTGTAAGAAGACTTGGCTATTACTTAGAGGTTTTCCAGGGCTTTTGCTGCTAAAGCTCAAGTCAGCCTGCAGACAGCCCTTCTAGACACAATTGCACTGGTCTGTTCCCCTGAAAGAAGGAAGCCAGTTTCTCCACAAATTTTTAGCAGCTCACTGCTTTAGGGAGGTTCACTGTTCCTTATTCTTCTCAGAAATTCAAGGGGAAAATGCAGAATCCTATTGGTCAGGAACAATTCCAGTCTGTGCTCGCAATAAGAGGCTGCTTTACTCCAGAGAAAAATCTCATGTTGCCATGCTGTGGATAAGCCCATACTGATGGATCCTTTCTTGCATGTGAGCGCGATTGCCTGATAAAAGTCCTGCTGGCATGCTAGTGTTCTCCATTTTCAGAGCTACCAAGTTGGTTTTGAACACAAAGGCTCCAAATGGGCATGGTGTTCCTGCCACCATTGCAGAAGCGATGAGATGATGCTGAGAAGCACTTTCTTTGCTAAAGATCCCATTTAATACTTCATCAAATTGCTTTCAGGAGTTCTCTCTATTCTCTGTAGCCAGAGTTGTAGCTCACACAACATCACTTTTTTTTCCCAAGCTCTACACTCCTTGCTGTGCTGTGATCATTTTAAGACAACCTCCACCTGTGTGAAGACCTGAGTATTACTTAGAAATTTTCCATGGCTTTTGCAGCTAATTTTCAAGTCCGCCTGCACACAGTCCCTGTGGACACAATTCCACTTCTTTGTTCTCTTGAGAGAAAGTGAGGCTCTCCATACTCTATGCTTTTCTGACAGTCACTATTCTTTCTTCTTCTCACAAATTCCCGTGTAAAATGCAGAATCTCATTTGTCGGGAAACATTCCAGTGTGTTCGCAATAAGGCATTCTGCTTCTCTCCAGTAAAAAATAACTCATTTTGCCATTCCATGGACAGTCTCATTTTGATCAATCTTTGATCCTTGCTGTCCAACCAATTCCTTTTCCAGAATATGGTCTTTCCATCAAATTTTGTTTCTCTGATTTGGAGGCTTAGATGTGGTGTGGGACACTGTCAGATGTTTTTCACAAGTCCAAGTAGATGATGTGAGTTTCTCCTCCTCCATCCATCAACACTGTAACCCTGTCATAGAAGACAATTCTGTCTTGTAGTTCTTGTCCTCACTCTTTCTGTTTTTTGGGCTGAACTTAATGGAGTTCTTTCTCTCATTCATGAGAATTACACATGCAGCATATAGATCTCTGTCCCACTACTAAATTATCACTGATTATTTTATGTTATCTTCATGTGTGGAGAGTTGTTTCGTTATTGTAATATTTTTAGTGAGTTTTCCCAAAACTGAAGAATATGTCTCCTGTTTTATTAACAGTACTTTGTTGAATGCTGTTAACATTATAAAGCAGTAATAAGCTATAGCAGCATGCAACTAGCATATTTTTCAGTCTTTGAAATTACATAGAGTTCAAATTATTATTTTTATGAGATCTGAGGGGATATGAAGAAGGCAGAAGAGGTCTTTGGGTCTGTTAGTTTTTTGGAGAATGACCAGAGATTGATTGCCTGATCCTTCTAGCCAATCACGAGTTTTGAGAGCAATGTCTCTCCTATTTTTCATTATAATTGCTAGGTTTTATTTTCAGCTAAGAAAAGGAATAGATTGCATAAGCTACTTAAATACTTGGATGGTACATTATGTCATTAGTCATGCAAGAATTAACTTGTTTCTCCAGTTTTCCTATTCCATTTTTTATTACGTTTAAGGTACCGTATGCACAGTATAGTAAATCTGGCTGAACATGAACTTATTTATTTTATTAGAGATATGTTTAAGGCGTTGTTATGATCTATGAGAAGATTATTTGAGTTCAGTGTACAGAACTGGAGAGACTGTTGGCAGAGGCTAATCCCAGGTTTATATCAGTCCTGATATCACCAAAATGTCTCCAAGACATAAACTTGCATCAAGAGCAAAGCAGTAGCATTTTACCAGGTGAATAATGTGTACTGAGACTTCAGCAGAAAGTCAAGCAGTACCCCTCTCAGAGGATAGATTTATTAAAGTAAATGTGGGCACACAGCCTTCGTATCACAATTTATTTACTTATTTACTTTCTCATTAATTCGTTGATTTGTTTGTTTGTTTTGGCATAATGGGCAGGAAGCACTCAGAAAGGACATTCACAAAATATCGCATTAACTGGGCTTAGGGGAGGATGGCGGAAGGGAACACACTACTCAATCGCTTTTAATGCCACTAGAGGTCAGCACTAGTCATTAAATAAAGGTGCTGGGAAAATCTTATTGCCACTGGTTCAAAGGGAGCGGAGATTTTCGACGAGATACACGTCTGTGCTTGTTCTGCAGGTACATGTGAGCTCACACTGCTCCAGCGTGCTTGGAAGCCAACCTTCCTTTCTCCAAAGCTGCATGTCCCCAGTGTTATTTGTGAACCTATGGTCCTGTGCTGCTGCTTACAAGTTGAAGCTGTACTTAGATGCCATAGCAATGAGTGCAGTCAGAGAAAAGTGACAGCACTGAGCTCTGTCCCAGCAAAGGCCTAAGCAGCACAGACAGCCCAAAGCAGTCAGCAATCAGCTTCTGCTGCACTGTTTCTGAAATGGGGCACTGGCAAATTAGGCCCAAAGGCAGGCATCAGAAATTGGGGCTAATTCACTGTGCCTTTCCATCATGTACTTCAGAAACATGCTCTTTCAACTCCTTCATTTGTTCTTCCTCATCACTGTCTAAGCTCCTGCAAACACAGATGTTGTTTACAAAATTTTAATATAGTTACTGTTGATAAACAATCAGACACTTGCTACAAAGATAATTGTGATGGGATAAACAATGTTTTTTTAAAAAAACTTTCACAAAATATTTATCTTCGTTGAAACCTGCTAATGGATGCAAATCACCTGATAAATGTACAATGTGCAATGTAGCGCAACAAATGGTTGTGATTTATTATTATGCTAAAATCTGTGCTTTCAGCATCTCTTCCTCAATGACCTTGGGAGCTGACTAAGTATCAAGGCACAACTGTCATGCTTAGTGTAAGCAGAACAATTCTTAAACAAACAAACAAAAAAACACCTTTCATTTGTAGTGGCATTTTCCTTTCACTGAATGCTCTGCATGCATTAGATCTGGAAATAAGATGGCCCAGGGTGAGCACCGTGTTCAAAATAATTGAGTCTATTTGCAATGCTTTATTTGTATCTTTGTAAATAAACATATATGTACACACTACAGATTTTTTTTTCCTTAGTGGTTTTTTTTTTTTTCCCTGTTTAAGAAAATTGGCCCTGAAATATCATCCTGACAAGAACCCTGACAATCCAGAGGCTGCCGAAAAATTTAAGGAGATTAACAATGCTCATGCAACACTGACTGATCTCTCCAAGAGAAACATATATGACAAGTATGGATCCTTGGGGCTCTACGTGGCAGAACAGTTTGGGGAGGAAAATGTTAACACGTATTTCATGCTCTCTAGCTGGTGGGCAAAGGTAAGTTGCTATTTTCTGTTGAAAAGTACTGCTATGCACACAGGTGCTTACATATACAAGGAACCCTTTGAAAAACATGGTATTTGATAGAGTAGGATCAGGATTTAAAATGCTAATAAAAGTGTAATTAAGCAATAATAAATATTGGAAAATAAAGAGTGGCAGATATACCATCAGCTCAGAAGAGAGCTAATATAAAATATCTTTTTCTTTCTAACTTGGTAAATAGTTGAATGCACATTTTGTAACACTTTCAGACATTAATTAGATTTGAATCTGGTGCTTCAGGTTAACTTTGACTTTCTTTTCTGTAATGACTAAATAAAAGTGACTCATTGTTCAAAAATGAGAAGGCCCACTTATGTGACAACCAGTTAATAAGTTATTACAGTACAAATATAGCTGTGTTCTTTGCTATATATAGCAGTCGGCATAAGTAAGCAATAATAATACATAACACTGTGGGATTATGGTGCCATGTATGTGCCCTGTCAGTCTGTGGTGAGGGGGTGAGAGAAGGGATGTGGAAGAAGTGAGAACTGGGGAGTGGAATAAGAGATCAGGAAAAGAAGAGCATGATGCATCAAATGCTGATATATTGTTCAAGGGAAAACACATCACGGAGTGCTCTAGTGATAAGAGTTGCATTTGTGTGCTCTATTATGTCACTGTTGTCCCCCAGTGTTTCTGTATGTCAAATTCTGGTGTTTCAGCAGAAATGAGATGTTACAGAAATGTAACAAACCAGCATGCAAAATTCATGCTCTCCCTACCAGTTCCCAGAAACAAAATGACCAGAAAGCAACGGCTTTGCTGGAACAAATGAAAAATGGTCTGAACTGCACGAAGCAAGCATGCTATGACAGCTCTGATCTGAGATCGGTGGAACACGCATTGTGTTCATGATGGGTCAGGCCAGTGCTTCACCACTCTTTGCAACAGGGAGATCACTTTGCGCAGTTCTGTGGGTCTGGGAAGCCATAATTTGTATGTTGGATCATATGGAAATGTTTCAAATGCAAAAAATTCCCAACGTTGACATGACAGCCATACAGCTGGAGTGGCCTCCTCAGAAGCTGCCTAGAGGCTGCCTACCTGCAGTTGCTGCAGCTAAATCCTTCTGCAGGCTGGACTCCCTCACTGCTGCTTTCTGTCACTGATGGATCCTTCCCTCTTCCCTTTGCTCTCCTTTCATACTCTTCTTCAACCTCTTTGTCATAGCTCTGGTGCCAGGAAGCATTCCCTCAGAGCTGAGAGAACAGCTGTATTGACTCCTCAAGCAGTCTTGATAAACAAGTTTTTCTTCACATCTAGATTTTATTTCCTCTTCTGCTTGCTGACTGTTAACAGATTTTATGAAGTGCAAGATCCTCTGTGGTTACCATATCAGGAACAGAAATAACTGCTTTGGCTTTGATTCATAAGAAGAGCAACAGAAACTGGAGAGAAACTAGTAAATCTCTAAGAGCTAAAGGAGTGTGTGGATAGATTGAAGGGAGCTATATCCTACAGATGAGAAGAGATACATTGAGTATTCCAGAAAAATCTGTCACTGCTTCCTGGGTTTTAAGAATTCTGCGCAGAATACCCAGGAGAAATCCAAAATATGCAACACCTGAGAATTGTTACCAGCAGTCTCTCTGTCCCTCCTCCATCCCGAAAACTTGCCACCTCTAAAGCACAGACAGGTCACCAAATGTTTTTTTTTTCTTTTTTTTCCAAGCTGAGGTCACTATTCCTCATCTCTTTTTTTCTCATGCACAAATGCTGGGTCAGTTTCAGATTTTTGTAAGATCTATCAGAATATTATTGAAATCTGACTGTAGATGATTTCTGTACTTCTAATTTCTTCCATTCTGGTCTGAAGAAGGTAGAGGCAACATCTTTTGCTCCTTATCTTCTTCAACTACCAAAATTCCTGGTAAATCCTCTTCCCTATCACACTCACACTCAGAAAATCGGACAATCACAAGGAGGTGCATCATTAGAAATAAAAAAAATCAAATGAAAAGAGAAATGCAAAGTGAAAATTACTTTTTTGGAAGTGTCAGTCTTCTTAGCAGTCATATTAATCTTGGAACATACTAACATGAATAATGGGTACTTGAATTGCTCATCCACTGGCAGGCAGAGGAGTTGTTCATTCAACTATTATAGCAAAAAACAATTTTCCCTCTTCTGCGAAGACAGCTTATTGATCACATTAGAGTTCCTGATTTACCAACTATGATATTTTAAATTTAAAAAAAAATTTGAACATTTAAAGTACTGTTAATAAATTCAAGTATATATTTGGCTTTATACACATTCATTCTTTTTTTCATTCTGTCAGTTGTGCTGATTTTTTTCTCCGTTATGCCATAAATGATAAACAGGTGTTTAACTTCTGTCAGGGATTCTGAGATTTCTAACAGTTTCAGATGTCAGATGGAAGGAAAACATTTTAAAACAGTATGTCTGAGTCCTTCTTGTCTTTTAAAGACATCTTGACCACTCTTTGTATATCTGTGAATGGAATGGATTATCATTGGCCTTGAGCCTGCAAACATATTAATAGTAAATATTATACATATAATGATCTTATTACCTTCAAAGCCCAAGTTAATGCTGCCTGAGACATAACTGTTATTTACACAGCTTCATTGTCAAAGTTTGACAATACTCTGGAATCTGGGCTTTATTTCTTCTTCACCAGCATATTTATTTATGAACATAACTGCAAGAGCATGTAAGTCAAACTGTGTGTAGTAAAGGACAGCCTGGATACCTATAACACTAAAGCTCGGATATATCTTCAAGCTAACTCATGCATATCTGGTGTCCACAAAGGTGTTCTGTCTTTATACATGCATATTCCACATATCAGCTGTAATTCCCCTTTCAGGAACGTCACTGGCTCTGCTTTTCTCTTATAATACTATGTCCATAAAGACATGTGGAGTCTTCCTCTTAACCACAAACACCTTGCTCAGGTCTGGGCACATGCCTCGGAAAACCAGAAGTCAGTGCCATCCTACAGACTCCCCTCCTGCAGCCCCTGTCCCACCATCACCATGTGGCACTCAGTGGAGTAGTGGAGCACAAATATTTGTGGAATTGTGCTGGAAATCCAGACAGTGACCTGATCTGCAGGAAGAAAACTGGCTGAGAGGTCTGGCTGAGATCACTGCTCTCAGCTCTAGGAGCCATGCTGGCTCTGCTAAAGCCTTCACACTTTGTGCACCAGGGACAACAGTGATCCTGTTGATGCTGGTGAGAACTTGTTACCAAAGTTCCCAGATCAAGAACCCACAGCCCAAAAAGTCTAATTTAGGAGCTGTCACCTCTGCTCCTGCGCAGGCTAAATAGAAGAAAGAAATACCTCCAATGGGCAACTCAAGTCCTCCCAGGGCTGAATCACCCTCTGGAAGAGCTTTTAACTTTCCATCACCTAGGTGGGAAGCTCATGGAGACTACAGTCCTAATTTAGATGCCTTAGTTTAGTGCCTAAAGTTATGTGGGATGCATCTGGGTCTTTGCTTCTTTTTCTCTTGGCTTTGTTATTGACAAGAACCTGCCAGTAAATAAGCATTTGAGAAAAAGAGCTTGGGCAAATGAGTCATTTTTAAGATGGAAATGAGTCATTTTAAGGTGGGTGCGGTTTTGCATACTGCCTGGAGGTGTTTTCCGAGGGCCGCCAGCTGAAGACAGACTTTGAGGAGTTGGGCATGCAGGGACCTGTTGGTTGGTGGCAGATGTGATCCTGAGCATCATATAGGAGCTGGTGGGTGAGGAGGGCTCTGGAAGGTCTGGTCCTTACTTAGGCCCCTGTCCAGCCTGCACTCCTCGGAGTGCCAAGCATGTGGGAGCCTGAGTTCCTTCGATGAGCCTCTTTGCAGAGGCTGCCACAAGTTTCAGGAAGGTCATTGCTCATGGAGTTTTCCTTTCTGTCCTTAACCCAGGGTCTCTTTGCAGTCTGTGGCCTCCTGACGGGCTGCTACCTCTGCTGCTGCCTCTGCTGCTGCTTCAACTGCTGCTGTGGAAAGTGCAAACCCAAAGCACCCGAAGGGGAAGAACAGGAGTTCTTCGTATCTCCAGAAGACTTGGAAGAGCAAATTAAGAATGACATGGAAAGAGGTGTGTGGCTTACTGTGCAGCAAAGCTGTTCAGAACCTGTAGGCCAGATGTTCTGCTTGTGATGTTCAGGCTGGCTCCAGACCCGGATGGAGATATATGCCAGTTCTCTTCAGCTAACATCATGACCAGATGAACTTCTCAAGTTGCGTGTTAATGAAAACCTAAATGTGGCACCAATAACTAAATATCTCCTTTAACTCCCATTAGACACAAACATTAGAAGTCCCAGGGCTCATCTGAAGAGTTGTTCACCCTCTAACCCACATACCCCTGTTGTTTCATATCCTAGATCCTGCATGTATGCATCAGGCTCTGCCTGGGCGAGTGCTTGCCACATCTCACCTGCCTGAATTAGCACATCCACTTTTCATTCAGGTAAAATCCACTGCTTACTGACATGGGCCAACCCATTCAAGAAAAGGCTAAAGAAAAGAAGCAGAGCTTCCATCAGTGAGGTTGTGCAGCAGCCTAAGAATGGCTGAATGGGAACTGCCCCCTCTACCTCAAGCTGCTCTCTGTTTTCTGCACTGGTAGTAGCAATTATGCTGTCATTCACCAAGAGCCAAATCTTGGATACAATCCAGATAAAAACTAATCCTCTCTAAGAAGTGTGTTGCTCTCACCAATTTAACTCCCTGCTATGCCTTACACTAACAAAAACTCAAAGCACGGGCTTGAGGCAGCAGGACCCCTTCAGTGCTTGTTGCTCTCTTTGCTTGGCTTCGATGCACACCCCAATCTACACCTGCAGGTTTTGGCTTTACCAAAAAATGGTGATGGTGATTTCCTATTTGACACTAGTCATGGATTTTGATCCAAGAGCCCTATTCTCATCTGTTGAAACAAGACAGAGTTTTGTCTGGCCAGTTTTGCCTTTGCTCAGTTGCAAATTTATATTAAGTATGATTAATGTTTTGTTTTGTTTTGTTTTGTTTTGTTTTGTTTTGTTTTGTTTTGTTTTGTTTTGTTTTGTTTTGTTTTGTTTTGTTTTGAGGAAAGACCTAAGCAGTCAGCTCATCCTTGTTTGCTTCCATTGTTGTGGAAGGCCTTATGCTGTTATATTCTTACGTTTATTATGCTTAAATTAGCACAGTGCAACTGCAAATGTCACATTTCCTTAACAGGAAGAGTTTTTTCCTCCCTTTTCACACTAATTTACCCTTCTATAAATATGTCACAAAACCCTTATTGAAACAAATGCTATTTATATAGCCAATATGACAGTGAATATTGTTTTTAGATTGGTTTTGCCTACAGGCATATCACAATAAATATAGTCAGCTTAAAAATTGATCATACTTGGCCACTCACTGCAAAGGCCCCCTAGAAAATGAGTGGAACATTTATAAACACAATGCATTACTTTAAATAAATATAATGTACTGTAAGACATTAAGAGAGACACATTCAAAGCCAGGCTGGATGGAGCTCTGAGCAACCTTATTTAGCTGTAGATGCCCCTGTTCATTGCATGGAAGTTGGACTAGATGACCATTAAAGATCCCTTCTAACCCAAACAATTCTGTGATTTTGTGATCTCACCTGAGAACTGCAAACATAAACTTAGTCTTGATACTTGTGAATCTATTATGAATCTATGACACCATAATCAAGTCTGAAATAAGAAGGTAAAACTTGTAAGGAGAACATTTTTTAGTTCTGCATGCCTCTCTCTTTTTTATTTTTATTTTTTTTTAATTTGGCAGGCATTTTGATGTCCCCCAAAAATCCAAAAATCCAGGACCAATTTCCCCAGAGTCAGGAAAAAATATTGTCTCTCCTTTTGGTACTGGTGATGTCTATTGACACAAGTTCTCCAATTTTAGGCCATCATCCTATACCTTTACTCCCACCAAGTCTCATCAAAATAGCCATTAAAAAAAAAAAGAGTGTATGTTTAGCAAAGTGCCAGTATGTATTAAGTACTTTGAAGACAGTATTAAGTGTATAGGTGGGGCCTGAAGAAATTGAGTTATTTCTGTCTTTCCTGGACTTCTCTTCAGTCTTGCTGTATTTTCTTGCCCATCAAAACCAGCTTGCTTAATTAGAGTAGAATTCTACACATTTTAGAGTTAGATGAAAATAAAACAACAAATCAAGAATAAAAGATAAAACTTCATGACAGAGATGTGAGCATCTTTTCTGCAACCGATAGGAAAATAGATGGGGAGAACTCCTTGTGGCCTTCTAATATTTGAAAGGAGCATATAAACAGCAGGGGGTACATCTGTTTACTAGTGTGTATAGTGATAGGACAAGGGGGAATGGTTTTAAAACTGAGACAGGGGAGGTTTAAGTTAGATATTAGAAAGAAGTTTTTCACTCAGAGGGTGATGACACACTGGAACAGGTTGCCCAAGGAGGCTGTGGATGCCCCATCCCTGGAGGCATTCAAGGCCAGGCTGGATGTGGCTCTGGGCAGCCTGGGCTGGTGGCTGGTGACCCTACACATAGCATAATCATAAAACTTCATCATAAAACTTGATGATCATTGTGGTCCCTTTCAACTCAGGCCAATCTATGATAATATGATTCTATGATCTAGAAAGATGAAGGATGATCAGTTTTAACTGGCTTTAACTGCACTTCCTTTCTCTCTTCCCCCAGCCAGAACTTAGGGATTCTGGTCAAAAGGATTCAGGTGACTTAGAATGTTGCACATTGGGCTTTTTCAGTAGACATCTTCAAATTTAGAGCCAGAGAAATGAATACATCTTTTATGTAATGATTAGAAATGTTCTCATAGGTAATTGAGAAGCAAATGTAATCAGTCCTGCAGCAGATTTTATTTTGGAGGAGGAAATGATACAAGAATCCAAATTCTTCACATGCCCTCTGCCCACAGACTGAACACTCTGGCTAGTGATTAATTTGCTTCCCGCTGTACCCAGTGTATATATTATCACTAGCCAGAACTTTTCTTACTGAGGTCAAAATATGAATTCTGAAACTAAGGCTGTACTTTGTTACATCCAAATATTTGATAGTCATTCTTTGCTTTTCTGAGGAAGGCAACAGAAGTAAGACATCACAATTCCTGATGCTAAAATCCTCTGAGAGCAACTCCACCAGTTCTTGTTGTGCTCAGTGGGAGCTGCTTGGAGCTGGCTATTCTGCTCAGAAAAAGCAGTATGCATGTTCTGGGAGTGGAGGTTTAGACATGACATTAAAAAAGCATTAAATGCAGTAATCTGTATCACACCACAGTTTTACAGATGACCCGAGGCCCTCTGACACTGGCACGGGGAAGCATCATGCACATGTCTGCAGTGTGGGCGTGTGATGTTTATTTATTTTCAGATGCATGCACACACTGCAGGTTGCCAGATTTTGCTCCTGTTGAAGGCAACCCTTTTGCTGATTTTTGTGGCCCCAGGTGAGAGGACGTTTGAATTTGGATTGCCTTGGTGCTTCAATGATGCACTCAAACTGTCAGGTTTGCCCTCCTCTCTTGTTTTGTTATCACCACACAACATTTCTAGACCAACTTTCACTTTACAGAAAATGAAATCCAAGAGAAAAGAAGAAAAAAGGAAAAAGAACTTGAGCAACAAAATAATTTCACAACTCAGAAGTTTTAGCACTTCATTGTCTCCTCCGCACTCCATATGATACCAATGTAGGCGAACAGTGAGCAAGAGCTATCTATAGAAAGCAGTTTAAACTGTGAATTCTGTTGCACCTCCACTCTGCAGCTCTCCATTAACAAGCTATATTTGTTCAGTTTATTATGCCAGAGGTCCCTGCTCTGATAAAAAGCACCATACATCTTACAAAGGTCCTGGCAGCAAAATATTTATGGAAGGTGTCAGCTCAGGACTGTCCATGGAGCAGCTGGAAGCAACACAACATATTTGCAGAGGGTTCTGTTCCCTTGTTGCACATCTGGGTATTACAGCAACATTAACTGCTGGTCTCAGCCCTCCATAAATGATCTTCCAAGAAATGAACAACTTGGAGGCAGTGGAGGGTGGGAGTGAATGCTGCTCAGAAGACTGGAAAATACATAGCAACTTAAAAATGGATTGGAACTGCCAAACTAACGCACTGAGCTCTAAGAATTAATTACTCATGTACTTTTAGAAGTTATGAAACATGTCTGTCTTTGTCCTTGTGTCTAAATTAGGAATTGCCCATACAGAGAAGCTGCTCAGCATTTAATCATCCTTGCCTTTCACATTGTAGGAGTCAAAGCAGTTCTGCCCGCACTGAGGGTAAGCCGTATGGCATGCCATTAGGTTCCTGCTCGGGGTTAAGTTACTTCTGTATGTTACATCTTCTGCCCATGATTCATCCCATCAACTGCCATGTAAACAAGAGGAAATGTCAGATTACGATTTTTTTCCTAAGCACTCCATCATATGGGGAAAAAAGGTCATAATGTGTATTCAATTACTCTAAATGCTGTGTTAATTTCAAGAGAGAGATAGCTCAAAGATTTTCATATGAAAGCATCGTCATCAAAATTGCTGAATCCTTAAGAGGCACTCTCTGAGACCCAAGCACCCTCTGTCCCTCAAAAAAGGTGGCTTGGAAAGAAGCCCAAAAGAAAGGCACATAAATGTTATTCATCATAAGAGTGAACAGCCATTGGGGAACTTTGCAAGGGTTGAGCTTCTCTCCACTCTGCAACAAACGTATTTTTTTACAGATATATTGGGAAACCAAGTGTATAACTGAATGGAATGAGAAAGCAAAATACTAAGTCATATAGTGATCATAAGAGTTTTTGGCAGTTCCAGACTCATCAAAACAATAGTTCTCAAAATCTTATTGAAAATATATTACATAGGACTTCAGAATGCAATTTAACATTTTTATATAGCTTGATGGCTTTCAGGATGTCTGATTTCTTCTCTCTCAAGCACATTACTGCTCACACTTTTTTTTCCTTTTAACTCTCTTTTCACTTCACTTTTAACTTGGTCTTCCTCCAGACTCATTCCTGGCCCACTCCTGCACACGCTGCCAAGGTCAGTGCTTGCTGAGTCACAGCAGCGCTGTGCATTCCGACATTTGCAGGAACAAGCACTTGTGACTGGAACAGGCAGAGACCCTTACCTGCCAACCTCCACAAAGCACCATGTAAAACATTGCCCAGTTTAATAACAATAGCAATAGCCACTCTGAAATCTGCTGTTATGCCTGGACAAGGTGTAAGAGCATCTGTGGACACGGTGTGAACATCACTGTCTCTTCAGCAGGCACACAGCAGTCTCTGAAGCCAAGATTAAGCCGTAAGCCAGGACAGCAGATGAAATGTTGTGGTGCCAAAAAGAAGTCTGACTTTGACAGCAAGTGAAGGATTCTTCAAGTAATTTTTGTCTCCTTCCTCTGTTTAGATGGAGAAACTCCTATTGTGTTTCAGCCGACAAATGCAACTGAAAAGACGCAGCTCATAGGGGACAGCCATCGGAGCTACCGCACAGACTCCTAGAGCCGGCACACACAGCCTGGTGGTGCTTCCCAGAGAGTGTCACAGCAAGGAAAAACGTGTGACAAGCTCTGCAGCCTGTTCCTGTAACTAACCAAGAGTAACCTCAGAGTAATTTCCTGTCAAGGCAGAATCTCCCTCTAGGCCACTGCAAGTAGTTTCTGGTCTACTCTCTGCAAAGAGATGCCTACAGCCAGTGCAGAGATCTCACTGGTTCAGACTGCCCTTTTGGCACCATCTTCCCTCTGCAATGCTCACTTCGGTGCAACTGCTTTTCTCCCCAGCCCTCAGCTGGTGTTTCACCTCCCAGACATGGTCTGGAGCCCTCTCCAGACACACCAGTCCCATCTCTCTATGCCCTGGGGAAGATTTCCCTCAAAGGAAAATCAGTGGCAAGGCTGGAGGGGCTTCTGCAAAGTGGAAGCACTCTCTGGAAAGCAGGCAACACCTTAGTGATATCAGCCCAATTCTGGCAACTGGAAATCTGAGCCAAGGTGATGTGCTCCAGGGTCATTTAGGTGGTGGTAACACAGCAGATGACTCCAAACCCAGAAGCATCAACCAGAATGATACGCATGTAGGCTCCGTGTTCTCCTGCACATGTGCAGACCATGCCTGTACAAGCTGCAAACACCCCAGGGAGAGAGTTGCTGGCCCTGGGCTCTCATATCCCCACCACCATCACAAAGCTTTCCCATTCCTGCATGGATAGGTCTGCTGCTCATGCCATGCAGCCTCAGCTTTTCCATTTGCAGCTGCAGTGTGCTGGAAGTTGATACTCAGCCAAGAGCTTTTTGCGGCCTTGCTCACTGCATGGTGCCCTGGCCACTGTCCACACCACCCTGCTGGCACTGGGATGGCATCCATGCCACGTGTGCTGCCTTGTGGGACAGTGAGGACTTGGAAGGGCAGAGGAGCAAGCATCCTCCTCGCAGTGCTTGTCCTTAGGTGAGCCTGGGTCCTCCTCTCCGCCCCAGCACAGGGGCTTTAAGAACATATTGCATGGCTTTAAATAAAGAAGTAGGGATGAGAAGCACACTGACAGTGATATCCTTGAGTACACAAAACACTCAGTTTTGAGCAAAAATGTGATGCCTGTGCTTTTTTGAAGAATGAATCAGGTGTATACCACTATGCAAATCAGTGGAATTACATGTGGGTACAGCTAAAGCAAGCATAGAGAAATGAGACCCCTAATTTGTAAGAGATAAAGAAGAAACTCTGAGATCTTAAACTTAGAACTTCACTCATTTAACACAGTAGTTTAAGGCTTAGACAGATGAATTTCATTTTATTGATCATGTTACATCAATCACTGTCAGTTCTCTACATTTGCTATTTTTGTTCCTCTAATCACAGTGCTGTGGCCCAAAGGGGGAAGTAATGTACCACTAAATATAGAGACCAGTCAACGTACAGCTAGTCAAAAATCTTATTCTCTTCTTTAAAATTGGATTCTGTGGTTGTGAAACATTATTGTCTTCCTTCTATTCTCACCTTTCACATCAAATGTCATTTAGTGGCAGCTAAATTTATGAGAAAAGAGTGTGTTTCATAGCACTAGCAATCACTCCAAGTCAAGAAGCACTACTTTCAACATTTCTTTAAAATTCCCACAATGCATGGATATTTAAAAATCCATCAACTCTAGTTCAGAGTACATGTCTGTTCTCCAGGCATGGGCACTGGGGCACCTGATGCTCACATTGTCCTGAAGGAAATCTTCTACCTGTGAAGTCCCTCGTCCTGCTCCCATGGAAGCAGCCTTGGTTTCACCAACAGCCACAGATCAGGCCTGAAGCCAAGAAAAGAGGGGTAAATCCCAGATTAGTAAAAGCATTTTGACAATTTTATTCACACACAACACCCTTGATAGCCCTCAGGACCCCAGTGTATGTGCCAGATCCCAAGTTTACTGAAATCAAGGAAATGATTTCCATGGGCTGGAGAAGTACCGTAAGTCATGTGATTCTCATTCACTCTTTCTATGTAAGAGATTTTGCTTGGGAAAGATTTGTGACTCTAACTTGCAGAGTGATGCAAATACAAGCGAGCTGCTACATGTTTGCAAAGCCCTTTTACTGACATGAGGATCTGAACAGAAGAACCACAAAATGTATTTTCTAAGACAGCCAAAAACCCCAAACAAACCATTGGCTGAGCCTCTGAGTTGGTTCCTCTGGATTTATAGCTTGAAAACCTGAACCCACTGTTTGACTTCAAAAAGACAAGGTGGATTTCAGGGTAGCAGAGCGTTTGCCACTCTCCCTGCTGTCGGGATCGGCCGTTTTGAGGACATGTGGAGAAAGGATGAATAAGGATTTCAGGATTCAGCTGTTCAATGTGGGTTCACTTGTTTTGCTTTTCAAAAAAGCTGCTAAAGGGAACACAGCTGTGCTTACATGACCTGTTCCTATGTAAAATTCAGTCACACACCCATTAATTTTCTCAAAATGTACAGTTCCTCAATTTTTTTGTTCTATTGTGCTGCTTTTCTTTGGATGTAAAGTGCAATGTATTCCAACCTACCTTTCCTGTCAAAGCCTCTGACTAATAAAGCTTGCACATACAAATTGCAGCATTCCTTTACTTTTCCAAACCATCAACCACTTCACTGCAGTAACTGATGAAGCAACCTTTGAGTCTGCTGTCTGAAAGGAAGACCTTGCAACCTGACAAGCTGCAGCTCAGGATTTCCCTGAAAAGGAACAGGGTCTTGAGTCTTGGATTGCAGCAGATCTATGTAAAGCAGCCAGGGGTGTAGCCACACACTGCAAAAGCGTCCTTTACACAATGCAGGATGCTTGTCTAAAAGTTCAGCAGGGGGTTGAAGTGATGCAATGCAACAGCTGTGCTGGCATAAGGGCCCATCTGGAAAGATTACCACCAGCACAGGGTCCATGCTGCTGCTTGAGACTGTGGCAGAGCTCCTGTAGCACCCTGGGGCAGGGAGCTCAACTGGGGCTTCTGCATCTGTCCAAGAACCAGCACAGAGTGACAGATAACCTGGGCCTGGAACAGGACAGGAGCGCTTCCCACTAATATGGTATCCAGCCTCTGTGACCACAGAAGCTCAAGCATTTGAAAAATAGATGAGGAGCAGCAGCTTTGTTTGGAGGTATTCTATAAGATCTCATCCTTTTGAGTGCTTGAGTATTAACGCATACCCAGATTCACTCAAAATGCAGAATGGAAGAAATCTTAGCGGGTTTAGGACTAACATCAACAAAATGTAATAGAATACTGGCAGGAAGGTTAAACTTCTACTGCCTGACCACAAACATCCGCCTCTAATGTTGTGGGCCATTTCTTTCAGAGCAGTCCTTGTGCAGTAAACCCCTCTGCTTAATCCAAGACACATCAAACATTAGTGCATTCCATTTCATTTCATTGCTTTCATTGCTTTTTTTTTTCTTCCCTAAGGATTAATACCTACAATGTGGGGATGATTTCAGGCTTTTGTTTTTTTTTTTAATTGCATTTTTGCTTTTTTTTTTTTTTTTTTTTAATAAATAAAATCATTTTTTTAAATATATGGATATGTGCAGAACTTAGGAAATGCTGTCCCTGGTCAGGCACCACGTGCAGCCACACCAGTGGCTGTTTGCAGGACATGTCCAGAGAGGGGCACTGAAGGTATCTGCAGCACAAGTTTTATGGGGAACAATTAAGGGAGCTGGGATTGTTCATTCTGGAGAAGGGGAGGCTTAGAGGAGACCTCATTGCTCTCTACAAGTGCCTGAAGGGAGACTGGGGAGATGGCAGGTCAGCCTCTTCTTCCACATAACAGCATTAGGATGAGAGGTAACGGCCTTCAGTTGCATCTGGGGAGGTTCAGGTTGGATATTAGTAACAAATCATTCTCAGAAAGTGGCAGTGCATTGGCACAGGCTGCCCATGGGACTGGTGGCATCACTGTCCCTGGAGGTGCTCAAGAGACACATAGATGTGGCACTGAGGGACATGTTTAGAGGGTATGGTGGGGATGGGCTGATGGTTGGACTAGATGATCTTAAGGTCTTTTCCAACTTTAACGGTTCTGAGAGGTGGGCAGGGTGTCACCATGCACTGGGGGGCACCTGACTGAATATGGAACCAATGTCTTACTGCATGGAAACACCAAGGTTCCACACAGTCAGAATGTATGGGGCAGAGGAGGTTCTGAGAAAACGTGAAACTTCAACGTCCACTTCAACATCCTGATTAACTGGGACAATGCCAACAGATGTTCTCAGAGCAAGCCATTACTTGCCTTGGGAGTGTTTGTGGTCAACTGGAGCAAGCACACCTCTGGTTTCCCAGTGCTGCCAGAGCGTCACAGCAAGCCTTTGGGAGGCTGGGTTTACAGTGCGGGCGGGTCTGTCAGAGAAAAACAAAGAACCGGCAGTACCTGAAAGAGTAATTAGTTAGAAGCACTTTTTCGGGTGAGCCGACAACCGTGGTGTAGGAGGAACAGCGCCCGGCCTCATATACTGTGAGGGAGGAAAAAAGTATTTCGTCTCCTTCGAGCCGGAATCGAACCAGCGACCTAAGGATTTCCGCAGGGAGCACCACTACAGTCCTCCGCTCTACCAGCTGAGCTATCGAAGGGACTTGGCGGTTGGCGCTCCAGCACAATCTATCAACGTACTTAGCGGCGGTCCAGAGGCGCATGCGTAGTACCCCAAGATTCTGTTGAGGGAACTGGCTGCACCCTGCGCTCGTGGTGCGGTGGGGCAGCTGGCGGGAGCGCGAGGAGATGCGGCGCGTGCCGAGGCTACACAGAGGAGGTCGTGGAGAAGGAAGGCGGCGGCCCAAGCGTCCGGGGTTGGTGGGCTCTAGGATGCAGTGGGGAAGAGCCCTAAACATGCCGGGCCAGTGGCGCAATGGATAACGCGTCTGACTACGGATCAGAAGATTGTAGGTTCGACTCCTGCCTGGCTCGTTGTTTTCTTTTCCTCTCCCTGATTTGCACACATAGTAGAGCGGGTTTCTTTTATCACGAACTCTTTTCTTAGTACCGGTGCGCGCCCAGCGGAGAACTGTCTCCCAAGACCCTCTAGCGCAGCCACCGGCAGCCGCGTTCTGGTACTTCCCAATTTGGGAGTTGTGTCTTTAAGTGGAAAAAAATAGGTTCTTTTTTGTGTCTTTTTTATTGTGTCAAACGGCGCTGTGCTCCCAACATCACACAAGCAAGGAAGGTTTTGCTGCCAATTCGGAGGAGACCGCCGAAGGCTCAGCATCTGTTCCGCAGTCACCTGGTCACAAAGCAGATGCAATGCAATAAGCAGCGGCAAAACAAAGCGAGCCAGGCAGGAGTCGAACCTACAATCTTCTGATCCGTAGTCAGACGCGTTATCCATTGCGCCACTGGCCCCGCACAAGAAACCGTCCCCAGCCGCCACACCCTCAGCGAACTGCTGGCTTAGCCCCAGCATTACGGCGGTACGCAGCGGCGCCAGGTCGTACT